GACACCTCGACAATTCGTCTCCTTAGAGAAAGTCAACATTTTAATGCCTGCATTTTAATGTATAACAGCGGCCTGTAGAGACAAATAGACCATCATCTTTACAGATTGTTTTTTCTCCTCTAACCTCGTCTGAACTGTTTCATTCAGGGCAGGTGTCCTTAAATTGACCAGAAGATTAACTTTTAACACGTCATGCTTTCAGAGGTTCGATTTCCATGTTTAACATTGATTTAACGTTGATCTGACTTCAGGATTATGTAATATTCCTTTGTTACTGTCCATATCCACATATCACTGTCAGATACTGGAGCTCAAACTATATATAAATAATGTAGTGAGTTGTCATGATGTTTTATGTCTGTGTCTATTTGGATTTGCTTTGACAATGACTGGGATCTGTTTTGACTGGGATCCAGACGAGTAGTATTAATTTTCCTCTCATTGTTCCATTTACCAGGTATTTCCCCACGTCTCAGATCAGTTTTGTTCAATCTTTCGTGTCTTTCAAGTCGACAGAGGGAATAAGATTAAAGGGAGGTTTCTGAAAGGTGCACTTGCTACGGAGCAAATAAATTGCTAGACAGGTTTGACGATACATAAACTAATATTAGCTACTCACAATTAACTTTTTTAGATGAAAAGTAAATATTCAATTGTGTATTATCTGAAGCATTCACATTATAAAGTAAGCTGTAGTAGGGACATGCAAACCGGACTAGTTGGTGGTAGTTGGTGGGTGTACTATTATTCTCTCTTAAAGAGCTTCACCAAACCTACAACCTTCTTGTAAAAAGTCAACACAAATAGAAAGAAAGTTGTGCAAGTTTAGAGCAACAGAGTAAATGATGACAGAATTTTGGGTGAACTGTCCCTTTAAGGACGTCCGCCAGACCAAATCAGATACTTTTTCTTAAAGGGTTAGTTCACCCATTTATTTTTGGAGTGATAGTGGTTAATAAAGCCAAATAATTGTACGTGAGAGTGTCAGTGGTAATATCATTGTGTTCCTATTGGTCAGTGTTAGAGGAACTCAAGCTTAACCTGACAGTTAGCTTGCCATGGACCAAGTTAGTTTCCCAGCATAAGTTGCCACAGTGACTGAGCTTGACCTATGTTAAACTTGCTTTATGGAACCAAATCATTTGACAATGAATCAGACTGACAAAATAAGTTGACCAAATAAGCCAGGCTTATTTAAATGAAATAGGCCTCAGATTATTGAGGTTAACTAGTGTGTTTATCTAGATTATTCCCTTTGTTTAGCTTTATATAGCTAAGAATGCTGTTTTAAAAAGATGTATTTAAAGATGCAATTTCTCTAGTGGGTTTTAGCATGCTAGTAGTATGCTTTGCTTCATCCAATTTAAAGCATTGGCTCTATATCCATCAAAACACCTCTTCTGTCATGAATTGTAAGACAATTATTGTCATACCCCACCAAAATTCACTTTTGCAGTTTTTTAAGGTCTCACTGTTGTTTTTCAGTGTCACGCGCCATGAGCGCTGCATTTTTAATTAACTAACTTCTTAATTTATAAACAGCTTAATTTTTTTTAAAACAAGCTGTGATGTATTTCATCCAGCAGTTATTTTAATGTATGATGTGTGAACATCCTTAAAGGTTAAATAATAAATCAAATAAATAAAAATATAGGCTACAACTGAATGTGTTTAATATATTGTGCCGACGATTTTATGACATTGTTTTAAGATATATGAAAAAATGTTAACATGGTTGCTACTTGCACATTCAGTTGATCAGCAGTTTCTAGCCATGCAGCCTTTCTCTCTGGTTTTATGACAGCTGTAGCTTTTATGGCTATTAGTAAAACATTAGAACTTTGCAATCTAAAATTGACCATTAAAGCATTAAAATCATTAAATTAAACGTTAAAATCACTAAATTTAAAATAGACTACATTTTAACTAGGAAGAGGTGCATGCATTAACTCATTTAAGCTTAGTAATTAGGACTGTATTAGCTTATATTTGGTTTACCCATTGCAATAGTCCTTTTACAGTTACTGCTATCATAGAAAAACACTTACGTGTAGGTTTAAAATTCTATATGAGGCACATTTAATGTCCAACAACAAATATTATAGCAAAATGTATATTTTACATATAATTTTTGCTCTCCCTATTCTATTGCGCTTCATCCGTTTAGCGCGCGTGCGCACAGCATAAGCCTCGCCCACTCCTGACAGCAAAATGGATATATTTGCATGACTTTCTAACATTTATAGATGACGAATATACCTGTGACATGTCAGTCATGCACTGAGGAAAACACAACAGCATTAAACAGCACAAATATATTCACTGTTTGCCGTGGTGGATCGATTTGTTCCATGACCGATATTAAAGGCTGCTTAAGAATAGCATGCACATCAAATTATCTTGAGATTACGTGAACTTAAATTGTCATTTATGGAACCCCTTTAGCCCCGATTGATTTGTTAGGTTATTTCAAGTCAGGTTTTGGACTTAAATCCCAGCTTTTCTTAGCACACTTTATGAAACAGGCCTCAGGTAGTCGACCATCTGCATTAATGCAGTACTGTTAAAAAGCTGTGTCATTATTGTACAGTGTTTTCAAAGCTTAGCTGCACAATAATATGTAATTTTCGAGCCACAAGGCAGCATTCAGTAAGATAACACTAGTATGTTTCCAGAAAACACACAAATCTGTAGATAACGTCTGTTGGCTGCCGATAGCGGTGCTCAGCGTGTCCACTGTGGTTGAGTGGATATTGCTTATGGGAGGCTGGGCTCTGTCAGCCGGTCTATTTCAGACCCTGTGTTGTGGCTGCAAAGGGGGACGATGCAGCAGATGTTACAGATTGTGAAATGCAGCTAACACGCATTCTGTCTGCGCCCTCAACCGAATGGCACAAACATCCTCGGTCAAATAAAATGACCGTATACCTGAGGGTGTTGACTCTTTGAATTCGAATAGAAAGCTAATTCGCTTCCATTACTCTGAATGATCTTCAACAGAATGTCCTGGAATTAATATTTTACCACGACCGTTCCTCGTGGTAGCGAGAGTTTGCTTTAATAGCTTTTGTTCAAGGTGAAATAATATGCCCCTGTTCATAATGAGCCTGTGCATGTCTGGCAGCGCCCCGGTTGCAGAGCAGTGATAATTAAGGGCTCTATAGCAGGAATAAAGGTTACGTCTGCGGCTGGTTCGCTCGACTGCTCGTTGATGCAGCGCACGCGCCGACGGTGCGTCTGTGTGGCTGGAATTCACATGAAAGGATTCAGGCAAGAGAAGGGAACAGGAGTGGGCGGGGGACGAGTCGTTGATATGTACAGTGTGACTCAGTTAAACATACCAAACTGCCGGGGTATTTCAGGAGCATTTAATATGTTTTAATTAGAGCTAATATTTAGAGCGAGAGGACAAATTAAAAGGACAATCGGCATGTTTGACTTTGACGGGTGGTTTTGGGCCTTATGGCTCACTCACGGCTGTACCTACTTCATTGCAATGGTGTGTATGTATTTGTTCAGGTTCTTTGTGTACCCTTTTTCTGAGGCGTGTTTAATTTTTGATAAAACAAAGCTATAAATGTTTTCTCTCAAGCCACTGCATGGGTCACTATGTCTGGATGGTAAATATTTCATAGCTCTGCTGAAGCTAGTTCCGTTACGGACGCTGGTTTTGTAGGCAAAGTTGCATTTCTTGAATCCAGGTCTAGGTTTATTTTAAGCATCAGATGATGATGGCATATGGTATTCAGTTCATTAACAGCTTTTGCTGTATTAGGCCTAATTGATTCAGACCTGCTTGATGAATATTTCGAGTGCCTGGAGTCTTTGAAGTATGTGCCCTAAACCTTTCACAGCACCCTGTCGAGAGTATCATCAAAATAAACTATGAGCCACAGGCGCAGGCGTGTTTAGAATTTCAAACGTGGATTTATGAAGCTGCATTCCTAAATAAAAGTGCTTTTTTAACTTTAAAGGAATAGTTTATTTGACTAAATGCTTTCTTTTTTCCGCTGTACACACAAGGAGATGTTTAGGAGAATGTCGCAGGGCTTTATTCAATTCATTCAAGCCATCAATAAAGCACCATAAAAGTAGTCGATAAGACTCTTTCATTATATGTACTCCTGCAAACAGTCTGCTGATATTTTTATGCACTGAAAATTTCCTCTTGCATTGTAACTGTTAGATCTTGTTCATGCACTTATCAAATGATGAAAGAATTCAATTCTTGAGTGAACTTTTCCTGTCACTGTGTCCTGTCTCTCAGTAACATGTAATTTAAACCATGCATTAAACTTCGTTCTGTAAAATAAATATAAAGAACTACGCAAAAAAAGCATTTTTAAGTATCAAGCATGTTTTAAAAAATGAAAATTCTGTCATTAATTACTCACCCTCATGGATCGTGGTACTCTTGTGAATGTGCATAGTTATTTTTGTTTTCTTTGCGCACAAAAAGTATTCTCGTAGCTTCGTAACATTATGGTTGAACCATTGATTTAACATGGACTATTTTAACAATGTCCTTACTACCTTTCTGGGCCTTGAACGTGGTAGTTACGTTGCTGTCTGTGCAGGGTCAGAAAGCTCTCGGATTTCATCAAAAATATCTTAATTTGTGTTCCGAAGATGAGCGAAGGTCTTACTGGTTTGGAACGACATGAGGGTGAGGAATTAATGACAGATTTTTCATTTTTGGGTGAACTATCCCTTTAGCTCCTCACATACGTTATCATGCCCATCAAAAAAAGTTTCTTTTGGAACATTAGAAGTAGAAACATCGATTTAACACACTCATGGGCATCAGTCAGTTCACTCAATTTTTGCTGGGCAAAGAAATAAATAACTATTACTTTACCATCTGTTTTACTTTATATGTTTAACTTTACGACCTTGTTGACATCAAGGTCAAGAAAATGACCAGGTCTGACCCTCTCAAAGTGTGTAGTTACTGTATATAGTTAAAACATATAATCTATCAATATATGTTTAATCCACAGGAAGTTGCACGGTGGAGTGAAGACCTTTGGCTGTGAGTTCTGTGGAAAGCAGTTCCTGGACAGTTTACGACTGAGGATGCACATGCTTTCTCATTCAGGTAAACCCTCCCATAAATACCATGATCACGCACGAATGTTGTCCCGATAAGGAAGAAAGCATAGATTACAGTGTTATTGCACAAGTGATATGTGATCGCTGTTGTGCAACAAGTGTCAGCCCCCTGTTGTCCTGTGTTTGTCCACCATGTACCGCACGCTTAACCTGCTGTAACAGATGGAACATTGCACTTATATTAGTGACGCAGTGTTTGGTTATCCCCGACTTCCCACTTCCCTTTCCAGTCTCATATGTGTCTCAACTGTTACATTTCAAGCCTGGCAGAGATCCAGTCTGGGCACTTCGCCACATTATTAGTACAGTATGTACAGTGAATCTTGCCAGCTTGTTGTTTTTTTTCTCATCGTAATGAGGAGGTGTAGGACAGAAACGCTTAAGGGAGGGGATGGATCCAGTTGTTTATACACATCCAAACCCGTAATTAAACGATCATGCTGTTGCATGTTATGTAAGCATGTGGTATTGTTTTGTGCCGATGTGTGCTATTAACTTCGAACTTTTGCCGTCAGATTTTGGTTATCAAAAAGGTCTGTTGCATAACCGTAGACATAAAATAAACCAGACACAGACTGCAAAATGAAGTTTAGTGCTGAGACGTTGTGTTTTGGGCTTATGCTGTCCAGCTGTCATCCTGTTTTTTTATATTTTTTATATTGTAGCTCCTTGTTAAGATCTTTCCCTTTAAGCCTTTGCTTTACAGAGTGTGCTATGTGGTCGACCATCAAGGGTTTTTCATAAAAATATCACTAGTGAAAATTCTGCTATTTAATACAATTTGCTTTTAATTACACCTTTAATTAAAACATTTGTTTTAAATTACAAATGATATTACCATTTGATTTTTTTCTTCTCTCTTCGTCACTCTTCTTCGTATTTATATGTTTAGATGCAGATTTAATAGATATTTATACACACAACACAACTGCACCCCCATGCTTCACATCACACGTGAAACCAATTTTTGTTGTTGTTGTTCTTCTTCTTCTTTCTGTTTTATGGTGTTGTCCACCTATATCTTGTATGTCCTGTCCTATGTAAAAAATAAAGTTTATTAAAAAAAACAATGATATTATCACAGGGTTTCTGTGGGTCTTTAAAAAAAAAATCAGTCTGTACTGTATCTATATATATATATATATATATATATATATATGTATACTGTATATATCAGTCCATCACTATTGGTTTGGATTTTAAAATATTAGGAAGAGTTTTTGTCACTTTTATGATAACAGAGAAGGGACATTATTTATGAAAAATTGAGAAATGACATTGCAACATGTCGCAGGCAGGATTCAAAACTACATTTTCAGATCAAGGCTCTGGCTTCAGTATCAGGGATGCTACAATGTGATTGATGCTTATTGAACTAAATTGTGCTTTAGAGGGGAATATCCTATTTCAAGTGGAGGGGAAATACACTTAGACTGGCAGCAGGAAGTGTGTGTGTGTGTGTGAGCGTATGTCCATCTGTCTGATTAAGTCTATAGTCATCTCTCTGAAGGGTTTGTGAAGCCCACCTCACTTGACTTTATCAGCACACGTTTGTGTCAAGATTCTGACAGCTCTCTTCACCAAATTAACTGAAAATTCCTCTTTCTTTTATCTCTTGTTCTCTGTCTGCCTCTTTTTTGTGTGTTTATAAAGGCGAGAGGAAGAGATTTATTATTTTGTCCCTAAATCCAACCCTCCTAATCTGCTATAAATCAATATCATAAACACTGGCAACAATATTCAGTTACTCCCACATTTAATCTGCTCGTAATTCGCCGTCGCACTTGTTCACGGACGACATGAAGAGCGAATCTTCATGAGAGCGAATCTTCAATCATGTGCGGCATTCAGGCTGAAAAGCCTTGTCAAGATGTTTTCTCTTAATGTCTCTTTCTCTTTTTTCTGTCTTTCTCTCTCTGTCTGGGAGAAGCCCTGTGCTCGGAGCTTGGCGACACGCCAGCTCTTCCCTCACACTGATGACATCATCAGCTGCCGGCAGGTCTGGATGTTCTGCCAGCATTCTGGAGCATTTATGATTGCTCGCAGATGTGTGTCCAGGAACATACTGTACCCAAATCCCAAAATTAATCAAACTTGACTGCTCTCCAAGCCACTGCTCTCCAAAATAGCGTGAGCGCTGGGGTGGAGGGAGGACACTGGTGGAGTCCTAAATAAAACAAAAATGCAGAAAGAAAACAGAAATGTTGACTGCAGGGCTAGTGCTGTGCAAATAATCAAATGCGATTTTCATGCACATCTGGTCAGTAAAGGCGCTCCTGTGATGAGTAGTAAATCTCCAGCACGTGCGTTCAGATGGAGCGGCATTTACTACACAGAGCCGTAGTTCACTGACAAGCTACACAAAATCGCGTTCAAAATCGCAGGCGATTCATTGCCGATTATGAACGCGATTTTGTGTAGCTTGTCAGTGAACTACGGAGAGGATGGAGCAGATGTCTGCACCGTGGTCAAAGTGTTAAAAGGTTATGTCCGAGGGCATGTCCTACAGTACATGTGCCGCCTTGACAGGTTCTGACACTTTCCATTAATACAGTATACTGAGCTGTAGCTTAGTGTATCCTAAATATATTTGATAAACATGAAAAATAAACGAACATAGAAAGTAATGATTGTATCCTCCTTCTTAAAATGTGGATTTTGGCCTGTCAGAGGTCTTGACTTCTTCAACTGTATCAAAACCTTCAAATATGCACAAATATTTTCATTTTAATTTATATTAAAATAAAAATATATTTTTAATTATTTTTATTTATTATATTTTTTATTATTTTATTATTATAGTTTATAGTGTATTTATATTTGTATATACTGTTACTATTATTATTTATTAAATGCTAATTTTACTCATTGTAATGGTCCTTAAAATTGTGACACCTTGTTAAACGGACTTTAAATTTGACCAAATTTAGGGCTACATTTTCAACCCAGTTACTGACAGGCTTTTGAAAAATGTTATCTGTTTATCTATATATTTATACATTTTTATGTATTTTAAGTATATTTTATGTAAATAATTTTTCTTTTTAAAATGTAATTTTTTTATGTTTATTGCTGGAAACCTCACAGAACAATGAAAGTTCCCATAATACTTTTTAACCTCCTTAGGTTGACAAATTTATTATTATTATTATTATTATTATTATTATTATTATTTTACCACAGTTAGGAAGCTCATATCTGACCATTTACTTTATTATTATTATTATTTTACCACAGTTAGGAATCTCATATCTGACCATTTACTGAAAAAGTATATATATAAATATATATATATATATTTACAAAACATATTTTTCTTAAATATATACATGCATAATAAATATACATAGTACACACACACATATTATGTAAACCAAAATTTTTATTTTGGATGCGATTAATCGTTTGACAGCACTATATGTATATGTATATTTTAATCATGACAACTCTTGGAAGATTTTAGCATGGTGATGGATATGAC